AAGCAATGTAGTGGAGTTATCTTAAAATAAACTGTTGCTGCTAATGCCAACAACAGATTTAACGCCATTATAAATGCATAAACTTTGTTCCTACCAGTGAACTATGTGCTGATTGGTTAATCTACTCGTGGCATACAGTTCTTAACTTTTCCTGTCCAGTTCTTCTGTTACATTAACCCACACTTTCATAATGTTCGTTCTTCTGTTACATTAAACCACACTATCATAATGTTTACTGTAACACCTTCACTCAAAAGCATTATGTTCAAATTCATTAATAATAAACAACAGGCGCAGCTAGCCAAGTGGTTTGGAGCACTTGGCTCTTAAGTTGAAGATCTAAGTTCGATCCTCAAAAGGGATGGAGTTTTTATTCTGTCGAGGACAAAAACAATATTTTTAACCTGAACCATTTATAAACATGCAGCCTTAACTCCTCAGGCTCATGACCATCTACACCGCCCTAAAGGTGCTAAATACAAATAGTAAAGGCAGTTGTGTTTGAACAATACTAGAATAAATTTAATTCATGAAGGGAAAACAAATTCCTTTAGTTAATTTCGTTTAAATGCAAAGTAACAGCAGAAAATATGTGGATAGGATTCAGTGAAAGAGCCCATCACATCATGGGCTACTTCAGGCTTTATTTAAAAAAAAAAAAAATTTATGAATATGTTAAAATAGAGCGGAAGCACAAAATGTGAAACAGCGATAAGAAAGTAAGCAAAAAAAAAAAGGGGGGGTAAATTACTGACCTTGCTGTCTCTGTTGCTGCCGTTGTTGTTCACCCCTTTGTTTGGACGGCTGTATAAAACCGGAGGCGGAGGTTGCTGAATGTGTCCGCCATCACTAATAAATATAAAATATGATCTTGTTAGTATTTATCATGGACCAAGAACAAAAGAAATACAGACATCCTAAAAGATCTGAACATCAAGGAAAACTGGCTTGTAAACAGCATCCTGTTGTGGAAACAGAAATATTCTGGTCATATCAAGTGCCATGGTTGATTAGAAACAACAGCAGCCTAGGGCATGTTATCAGGAAAGAGTGATGGAAGCTGAACAGCACGAAGATGGGCACAGGATATAGGAGATATCCTGGATAGGAAAGTGCACAAGAAAGGACAGATGGTGAGAGACTGAGTTTCCATCAGGCAAGCTGTGATAGGAGTGACATTGTGCAAAGGTCCTGCTGCAGGATGACCATGAAGTTTTAAACTGCTACATTTCCCGAAGTATTTGACTCTTCTCAATTTTAGGGACTGGAAATTTTTGAGAAGAAAAAATTATTCGATTACATAAAGTTATGAACTCATGTTTTATTCATCACAGAATCCAGAAGACCACATTTAGGTTCAACAGCGCGACTTCCATTCAGTTTTGCAAATTGGATCACTTTTAACTTAAATTCGACACTATACAAAATATTTTTTCTGAGACATTCACGGAAAAAAAAATAACCCAATGTAACAAGTGCAAAACAATGAGAATGAAGACAAGTGCAAAATCTAAGAACTTTTAATTTTATAATTTGTTTCTCCATTTTATGTTGCCCCTAAACCAGCATTTCCAAATGAGGCCTTGTACAGGATATTTCCTAACAAATCATTATGTAAAAATCTACCACTATTGTCTAAGTCGCATACTGCTTTTATACTATATTTTGGGAAAATCTGTGCCTCTTATATACTGGGGGAAAAAATGGTACTTGTGAAAACTCCAAAGAGAGAAATATAAGAGTGGTTCATCTGAGACCCATTCGTCCTGCACTGGGAACAATTGTGTGCATGAGCATGATCAAGTCAGTCGTGTGATAAATACTGAACGATAAATATAAGAACACATGCTTATCACCCCATGATGCATTGGTTCTGTTTCTGACCACTGAGAAAATAGCCATGTTAATCTAACCCCCCCCCCCCCCCACTTTTCCGAAACAAAAAGAGGGGATTCAACTTATTTCATTAGAAGGATGTCAACAAGTAGGCATTAATGGAAGAACGCAGACATTGTAAGTTAACAAATGTGTAAGGACAACAAATGTGTAAAGACAACAGTGACAGACTGAGTAGGAATGCTTCGGAAAGGATGTGAGTTCACAACAGATCTTCCACACTCGGGTCAAGTGCATTTTGTTGCAACAGAAAAACCATTGCCAAAACTGATGCAGTAATACAGGTACTCCGTTGTCAAAGCATATGTTTGCTAGTGAAAAAATTGTATGTGTCGACTGGGACAGTTCAAAAGGATGTTCATAAGAAACTGCAGCATCGGAAGGTGTGTTTAAAGTGATATAATAAACTTGGTTCATCGAGTAATCACAATCCTTTTTTGCGGACAGCATTTGCTGCCTACCTAATTTAAAAAGTTAACTGCTGCAACCATAAGCTAATGGTAAGATAATGATAGCGATAATATTAAACTACTTTACTTACGGACTGTCTTCATCATCTGAAAATAATAAAAAGAAAATAAATTATTGACTGATTAATTGATACACTGTTGTCATCGTTCTTATCAAGGTTTTTTTTTTTAAAATTCACTTGTAAATAATTGCACTGAGGTCATAACAAATATGGATGCTAACTCAACTTTCCTTATCATCAGTATAGAAGAATTACTACTTTGCCCCAAGTCAGATGCATTAATTTAGATTATTTTTTACAACACTGGACACATATATATTATATAATAATATATATATATATTACATGATAAGGCAGACGTGGTTAGTGCCTTGTGGGAGAGCGTGTACAAATCGGAGGAGCTGATGGATCACCACAGTCTAGTGAGACTGATGCAGTTGGGAGTGACGAGAGGTTCTGGCAGATGCTCGAGGCTGAGAGGAAAGGCAAGAGGGACATTTAATCAGAATGCCACTGGCACCATTAGTATCGGAACTCTATACTGGCTGTTGAAGATAGGGAGTGAGCGCTTATGGGAATGCCCCGAGTTCTGTGATGTCGGTTCTTGAATCAAATCAAATGGACACACATAATGGCTCTTCTACCATCTTCCCTCCTATTCTGCCATTTTCCCTATCTATTCTGCCATCTCCCTTTCTGTTCTCTCATCTTCCTTTCTATCCTCTCAACTTCCTTTCTATTCTGATATCTACCTTTCTATTCTACCATTTCCTTGTCTGTTTCCTCATCTTCCTTTCTATTCTGGTGTCTCCCTATTTGTTCTCATCTTCGTTAATTTTCTAGCATCTAATTTTCTCTTCTCTCATGTTCCCTTCTATTCTAGCATTTCTCTTTCTGTTCTCTTATCTCCCTATCTATCCTTATATTCATCCATCTTTTTTTTTTCTATTCCGCCATCCTCATTCCTACTCTGCCATCTTCACTTCTATCTTACATCTGCTATAACAAGCCTAGACAACAACAACAACACACTATACACGTCAAGAAAAACAACTTCACATAATAGAGTTCTAGCACTAGCATTCTTAACAAATATTTCTTAAAATGTACCAAACAATTCAAAAAAGAAACAACAGGATCCACCTACTTTTGTTGCCTCCTTTTGATCTGCGTCGGCAACAAATGACGACGACAATGACAACAACTATGATTATTGCAACAACAACACCAACAACCACGCCCACAATGAGGCCAGTGTTGTCAGGTTTGTTGCCAGCAGAGGCTGCTCCTGGATTCCCTCCTTGGCCTGTTCCTGTTCCTGGACCACCTGGCCCCAAAGTTTCTGGAAAAGAAGCAAACAAGAACAAAAGGTGTTAGATAACTTGCAGGCAACGACATATTCATTCATAATTTAGGTTCTGCTCTCTTCAGTCTGTAGATATAAAGATCTCAAAATCCACAAAGAGTTTCGTTAAACATTTTACATTCACATACTGTACAAATGTTTTTTAGTTTTGTGAAGTCTTTGCTTTTTTGTCTGTAAATACAGATGATTTACAATGCATTTATTTGTTTTCTTTATTCTAATTATATAAAGGTATTGTAAGGTTCTGTTTACAGAGAGGTGGCTTAGATGTTAGTGAATGTGCTTCCCAATCCTCAGACAGGGTTCAAATTCTGTGGTGGGTGGTTTAGAAAAAGGTTTAGGACTAAGGTACAAGTTGCATCCTAGTGAAGATTTTGAAATAACCACACACCCAATAAAATGTCTTTACTTCCTGCATGTTCCGCTTCTTTCACCCTTTCGCTGCTGCATACCTCCCATTAGCCGTAGACCACAGTGCTAAGCCAGGCGAGTGCTAATCCTTCCTCCTGTGCTGAATACCTTTTTTCCCCTCCAAAAACAGAAGATGCTTGGGGTATAAATGGTACACCTAAAATAAAAACTCTTTGAAGGTGTATGGTTGACCTTTGCGCACTGACAAGTCGGATGAGCTATGGCTATGCCATGAAAACTCTTTAACAAAAACTAAACACAACAAATTTACAAAGCAAACAGAAAACACTTAAGTAGGCAAATACATTAAAAAAATATTATTAATATCTTTTTGTATGAAATATTTCAAAATAAAGTGCGACACACAATGCTATATCACAATCTTTGGACATGTATCTCTGGTTTCCTGTCGTTTTTTTGCTTTTTGCGCATACCACACACTTTCTTGTTGGTCATTTCTTCTGTGATTTTTTTGACTCCACTAATAAAGGAAAATGTGTTCATACTAAACAAAGTGGCAGATCTTAATTTTTTTTATCCTCCTACACATTTTCTCTTTTTTTCTCAATATTTTTCTAGAATTTCTCTAAATATCAAGTTAAAATCGGGAACAGGAGTGTTTTTTCCCTAAAACAACTGTATATAATGAATGTGCATTTAAAATAAAGAGTTCTAGCATGTAAAAAAAAAAAAAAAAGCTTTTTATACCATTTTATAGTTTTTCTAATTGATTCAATAGAGGTTAAAGCAAGTCAGTACAATCTAATGAACCCATGCATTTGTTGTTATCCACAAAACACTGTAGCTTTACAACATTTAGCCTAGTTTTCCATGTCTATTTTTTCTGTTGCTAACATTCCTGAATTGTGGCATGATGTTAGCATCCACACCTCTCGTTGGTGACAACAATTTATAGCTAATAAACATGCAGCACACTTGGAGCTAACTTCTTTCTTTAATTTTTGCTCTATTTTGGGCAAATGTTTCCTGGATTTACAAACATTACCACACACATTTGTAGCCTGACCATCTTCTTCTTCTTCTTCACTTCCTCTTTTACCGCTGTGGGTGTCGAGGGAGATATAAGGTTCTGTTTCTAGCTCTTCTGGCTGCCTCGACCATAGGCACATCGTGCTGTTGTAGAGTTTCTCTGATGTTATCCTTCCATATTGTTCTTGGTCTACCCCGTGCTCTACGTCCTTCTTCTCTTTCCATGTTTGCTTTGTATGGTATGGTGTCACAAGGCATTCTCTCTAAGTGGGCAAACCATTTCGCTTGCTGTCTTTGTATGTAATCCAGAATTGGTTCTGTGCCGACTTGTTCTCTTATGATCTCATTCCTGATCTTATCTCTTATGGTCACTCCTACAGCCCTTCTCAGACATCTAATTTCCGTGGTTACTAATTTACCATCAATTTACTAAATTACGATCAAGTCACATAAATAAATCTGGACTAGTGTACCAGTTATCTACATAAAATCTGTGGCCTTTCTGTAGATAGGGCGCCAGTAAATTGGACACAATTTCAGCCTCTTTCCCTAAACCTGACACAGTAATGTCACTGTTGACAACAGTGTACACTATGAAATCTAAAATATACCCAGTTCTACAGTCACACATAACAAAAGTTTTCACACCAAATTTACTTCTCTTTGACCGAATGTACTGTTTAAATGACAGTCTTCCCTTGAAAAGCAGTAGTGACTCCTCAACAACCATATCACGATAAGGCAAAATCCCCCCCCCCCCTCCGAAATAATGTTCGCAAAATATCGATCACATGTCTAATTTTGAACAGTCTAGCACACCTGCATCAGCATTATTGTCCGAGAAATGTAACATTCTTAACAATAATAAAAATCTGTCCCTCGTCAGAACTTCACCAAACATGGCCGTTCTCAGCAAACAGTCTTTGGTCCTGTATTAATTTATTTTTCAATTTCATTGTTCTGGCATTAGCAGACACACACACACACACACACAAACAAAATTTAAAAAATATGAAATAATTTGTCCAAGTCTGTATCTGTCCATCTGCAGAGACGAGAGCTTACGGTAGCACGTGCCTTTTCAATTAAAACAAAAAATGTCATGTATGGGTTTAACGCAGGACATTTCCAGAGTAATAAGAAGAGATAATAGTAAAATTTAAAATGAAGAAATTAGAAGACAAGGAATGAAAACAGTCTTATATTTAACTACAGAATAAGCGGAAGACCATGCAAAAAGGAGAGAATGACGAACAAACGAACTTTATTTTCAAAGGGTTACAAATTAGGCACACAGGCCTGACTTACATAAAAAGAGCAGTTTGAAAAAAGAAAAATTTCGACCAACTTATGCAACATAGTAGCAAGAGAACATAGCATATCCTCACATCTCTCCCAAACACTTCAGTAAGGTAACTGGTTGAAGAGAAGAGGAGGAGGAAGAAGAAGAGAAAGGAAACAGAGAGCTGTTGTGAAATAAAAGCATAAACAAAGGAATGAAATAAAAAAACTGAAATAATGATAAAAGAAAACATCACCAACCGGAACCCACTTGGATGAAAGCCGCACTACTGGCCTTCTCTTCTCCGCCTGAAACTACAACACAGAGATACCGCCTGTCTGCATCCTCCTGTGAAATGGTCAGCCGTAACACAGATTTATGGCTGTACTGAGGACAGGTTGTTGAAGTAGGAGTGGCTTTTATAGGGGTGTCAGTGGTTATATCATTGGCAGTTTGGTAGTCATCGTACAGTATATCGATCCCAATGGCAGGCCTCCTTTCTCGTTTCCATTTGAAATCCAGCTTCTCTGGTCCCTGCAAAGTTAACAAGAAAATGATTGGTCAATTCACATAGAGACCCTTTTTTTTTTAAATAGCACCAATTATTTAATTTTTTTTCCCTCTGGATATTTTGTTACAATTGGAGATATACTGTTAATCGAGTTCTCAAAGCAGTTATTTGTTATTTTTATATATAGAGTAATTATTTATATGATTGATTTGTAACTTGTATTGTTTCATATATTACTTTTATCTCGGTTGTGATTATCAAAGAAATTGTACTATGAATAATTAGACCATCTTACTAACATTGTGTTTTTAACATGTTGGATTTATTATTCCCTTAGTGTGATTATTCGCGCAGATTTTTATTGTAGTACGGGGCGTCGCAGGTTGACCCAGCCTAAAATGGGTACCAGGATGGCTGTCCTGAGGAAGTACAGATGCTGACCACATTACCCACCTCGTGCCGACGATCTGTAAAAATATGGGCGCTCTTCCCATATGCCCGATACACCTAAGGGCGTGAAAAGGGATCTTTACTTTTACTTTAGTGTGATCATTTGGTATAACTCATGATTCTCAACCAATCTCGTTCAGCTGCATGATTTCGTATTAGTTCCCACAGGCTGTCCTATATTCTAGGGGTGTTATGAGATGTCTTCCTTTGGTGTCTATACACAGTGTGCCGAGAACTGACTCGGGTTCGTTCGACGAGGTGGACACACTGTCTTCCAGATGAAACTGCGCAGCTTCGTCTCTGGAATGTGCTGTTGTTGTGAGTACCTCAGGTGTATAAGGAAGAAGCAGTGCGGGGAGGGGGGGACGAAGGCTTGACAATTCGTATAGAATCATTGATGTTTTTTATTTTTATGTTTTTTTTCGGTGACTGTCGGTGTTAGATGTGCTCAACACATTCAAAACTAACAACACATAACATCTTAGAACATAGGACAGCCTGAGCAAACCAATACAAAATTACGCAGCCGAACAATATACGGTGAGAATCGTGAGTTGAACTGATTATTCTCCTCGACTCCATTTTTAGAGGAAACTACTTCAAAGTTGGCATGGGTATTCATTACCCTTCTATATAGGGATTTTAATTCTAGTAATAAATTGCTTGACCTTGCTAAGCAGGTCTCTGGGGTTGTTCAAAAACTTCAATTATTAAAATCGATTTTGCAAAATTTGAATTTAAAAGCTGTTATTATATAATGTATTACTGCTTCTATGTTTGCCCTTGAAAGAAAGGTTGGCATATTGCTGCGATATCTGTGATTAACACAAACACTCACCATCCTAATTTGTGAGACTAATTTCTATGATACACACTACATAGAGAATGTATCTTCTGGTTAATATGGAGGATTGGCAGTTCACTGTTTTTAGCAGTGGCCAGTTTTTACTTCTCCATATGCAGACTGAAAGAATGTAGTTTCACCACCCAGCTACTGAGCTGAGTGTATGGCATGACACTGTGAGCTGCGTGTGACCAACATAGTTTTGTTGTGAGCTGTAGATTCATAAAATGGTGAGTGGCCCACTGGCAAAAAAACTTGTGGCATCTTATATGATTAATCACATGTGCAGCCACTGGTTAGTTGTAACTGCTGCTTCAAATGATGATGAACTGAATTTCTAGTGTTGGACTGTTGGAGTTAGCACTTCTGATGGCTACTTTAAGTATTTATATGTTAATGTATGGAACTAGATGCAGAAAAATGATAAGAGTGCCTTGGACAGACAAAAAAAGTAAAGACAATGTCTTGAAGGACAGTGACTCAGGAAGAGAACTGACTGCTCACACAAGAAAGAGAAAAAGAGAGCTGAAGTACATCATGACGGGGGAAAAGTTGGAGGGGAAGACAGACTGAGGTTGACCCAAACAGAAGATGCTGGACAGTTTGACATCATAGCATAGGGGACAATCTATGTCAGAACTGACTGAAAGTGAATGAGACAGAAGGCTGTGGGTAGAAATAACTATAAAAGCCATATGGCATGTGGGTAGACATAACTATAAAAGCCATATGGCATGTGGGTAGACATAACTATAAAAGCCATATGGCATGTGGGTAGACATAACTATAAAAGCCATATGGCAAGTGGGTAGACATAACTATAAAGGCCATATGGCAAGTGGGTAGACATAACTATAAAAGCCATATGGCAAAAGCCATATGGCAAGTGGGGGTATAACTATAAAACATATATGGGTAGACATAACTATAAAAGCCATACGGCATGTGGGTAGACATAACTATAAAAGCCATACGGCAAGTGAGTAGACATAATAAAAGCCATATGGCATGTGGGTAGACATAACTATAAAAGCCATATGGCATGTGGGTAGACATAACTATAAAGGCCATATGGCATGTGGGTAGACATAACTATAAAAGCCATATGGCAAGTGGGTAGACATAACTATAAAAGCCATATGGCAAGTGGGTAGACATAACTATAAAAGCCATATGGCATGTGGGTAGACACAACTATAAAAGCCATATGGCAAGTGGGTAGACATAACTATAAAAGCCATATGGCATGTGGGTAGACATAACTATAAAGGCCATATGGCAAGTGGGTAGACATAACTATAAAAGCCATATGGCATGTGGGTAGACATAACTATAAAAGCCATACGGCATGTGGGTAGACACAACTATAAAAGCCATATGGCATGTGGGTAGACATAACTATAAAAGCCATATGGCAAGTGGGTAGACATAACTATAAAATCCATATGGCAAGTGGGTAGACCTAACTATAAAAGCCATATGGCATGGACTTGAAAAAGAAGATGATCCTACTGCTACTACTATCAAGCTTGAGACTGCAGTCTGTGTCAAATTTTGCCACAAGGGTCAGTGACGGACATTCTGGGTGGCTTTTGTTGGCACAGGGATGGAGCAACTGTGGGGTGATCTGTTTGTTATGAAGTTGAATCTGTGGTCACCTGACTACACAGAGGATGTAAACTGTGTTAGATGTAGCTTGCTCTCATCATCATCATCATGTAGCAGGATCTTCACAGAATGCTGCTCTCATTAAAGTCTGCCTGAACGAAACTCAATTTCTTACCAGTTCTCCTGCCTGGTGCACTTTCATATCCAGAGTCACTTATATATCCTCTGCCCATCTTTGTGCTGGTTGGCCTCTGTCCCTCCTTTCTGGCATCACGCCTTCTGCTATTACTTATTTTCAATCCACTGTAGCACTAGATATGGCCAAAACGGTTCAGCT